ACACACACACACACACACACACACACACACACACACACACACACACACACACACACACTAGCTGTGTTTCCATTGCAAATGTGCATAAAACTTTGTTGATATTCTGTTAATGTTGAAAAACACAGTTTCACAGCTGCAGTGTTTCCATCGTCTTTTTCACCAGTAGAAACAGACGGTTGTTGATCACGTGACTCCTGTGATGTGAAAAAAGTGTTTCCATTGAGCAAATTTATTTTCGAAATTCTAATTTGTGCATTTTCATGGTCAATGGAAACACAGCCACTGTCATCAGTGCTTCACAGAACAAAGATACTCTGGCAGTGAGCATCACATCACAGCTGGGTTTAATTAAGGCAGCATGATGGATCAGTGGTTAGCACTGATGCCTCGCAGCAACAAGGTCTTGGGTTGGATCCCCGGTTCAGACTTGGGCTCTGTCAGTTTRCATGTTTTCCTGGTGCACATGTGAGTTTTCTCCCAAAGACAAAACTTGTACGTTAGGTTACCTATAAGCCCAGGGCTCTGTTGCAGAACAGATCAGTGATCTCAATAGGATTTGTCTGCTTATATCAAAGTAAATAATAATAATTAGGYATATGTAATACCATATAATGCTGCTGTTCTGTGACCGACAGCAGCTTATAGCTTACAATAAACCATGGTCCAACAGCTAAATCACTATTAAACATTAAACTAGATAAATGTATCCATCCTGTGATTCAGTTTGATGTAAAAGTCGTACATATTTTTACTGGAAGGCGACACACAAACCAGCAGACACATTCACATTTTGACTTTAACATTTATTTGTGAAGAACAAACAATACAAACACCTTCAGCTGGACCAGAATAAAGACATTTATTCAGTCAGGATATTTTGTCAAAGAATCAAAGCAAAMCAACAGATTTTATTCATTTTGTTATGGACCTGGACACACCTCAGGGTTTAGACATCACATGATCAGGAGGACCTTCCCTACCAGTGACCTGATCCCTGTGCAACAGTTGTGATGAGAAAAGACTTAAAGGCACAGTGTGTAGGATTAGTTGTTTTCAGCGACATCTAGTGGTTGAGTGGTTGAATCATCCTCCCTGGTCCTCCCCCCACCCCCACCCCCCATTTCCAAACGCTACGGTGTCTCTCAGGTGTCAAAAACCTTTGATAATTCCAACTGCGATGTCTACCAGCAGCTTCAGGGCTGGTGATGTTTCAAGTGGTAAGATTATGAGCTTTAATAAGTAAAATTATACCAGTTGTGTTTACATGCACAAAATGTTTTAATCTGATTGAAATGTATTCACATTAAATAATCTGAATGTACTGTTTACATGGACACAATCCGATCATGAAAAGTGTTTACATGCACCAGAGTTTTATTCAGAATAAAAGTCCTGACATGCACAGTGTTGTAAACGTTCAGCTCTACTTCCTGTTACAAACATAAACAAAGCTCCTCTGTGCCTCAGGACGACCCGTGTCAGCTTTTAATAACGGTAGAGACGTCGTTACTCCTCTGAAGAAATTTTGTAACTGATTAATTGAATATTAGATTCAGTTTTGTATTTTATACTTTCTGATCATTTCAGTCTG